CCTGTCTGACTTTTTCCGACTTTTCCTCATCCCGGAACGTTTCTTTCTACAGCCTCCTCTCCTTCCCCTTTTCCTTGGTACCTATTTAGGCGATAATGCCGGGAGCGTCGTAAAGGGAGCACGATCTCCGTAGCTCCCGCGCCGTTTCCCTTTTAAAGAAATATAATTTAAATTCATGATGCGTTTTTACGACTTGGGGGATGTATACTGTCACCCTGGCAGAGCCCCATACCAGGGAAGGGGACATATTCATGCCTGGCGCCGCCCCCGAGGTCGCCAAACACCCACGTAAGCGACTGACTAACCCGCAGCCATACATCCCGAGGACTATTATATATTATAATACTAACATTTTATGTGGAGGCAGGGTGGTCTTGCTGTCTCAAACTGAACAATTTACAGGTGAAATTACTGTAAATCATTTATTTTTGTGATCCTGTGTATGGAATCAAAGAGCAGGTTCTAACATAGGACGGACCTATAGAGAAACTTTTTATTTATTACTGGACCAAGATTTTTTAAAGAAACTTTTTTGTTTGGTCGCTGGGGTGCAGAAGTGCCATGCACATTTTTTGGGCATTGGTAAATTAATAAACGAGCTAAAAATTTTTTTTAACAAGGACAAACGAAAGTGAACAAGCTATAGAAGAAATTAATACACTGTGTAAAAGCGAGTCACATAATGAGAGGCGAGTGAAGAAAGACGTAGAAAATTCATTTTTATTTTGTTGGACAGGGATTCCCCCCCCCCCCAGGCAACAGTGTGCAAAAGTAAGTCAGCAAACAGGTGAAGTTGTCAAACTAAATATATTCAAAATGCATGAAGCAGTGAACATTTTTATCATCCTCTTGCTGCAGCAAAGGCCATTTTTCAAGATTGGCCGAAAATAGTACAGTCGTATCTAGAAAGATGGGGTACATTCTAGTGTCACATTTTCCCCCCACAAAACACGATTTTTTCCTCTTTAATAGATTTAAGCATACACCAAATATCAACTTGAGCGTTACATCATGTTAACTCTACAGACAAAGTTGCTCTGATTATTCCATAACTGGGTGAAGAATAGAAATCCTTTTTTTTCTCAAAACCAGAAGAATGGATATATTTCGTTTTGTTGCAGAAATACTGCTCATACGTAAATTACAAAGTTAATATAATTTTGGATTTCAATCGTACGGTACCTTTTCAATTTCTTCCGCAGACATGATTTCTAAAATTTTCCAAGCTCTGAGGGTAAACATCAGTAGAAGTGATTCTCTCGAACCCTCTTACTTCTGACACTCAGAAATGGAAACTAAACTTCCATAGTTTGCAATCATTCTCATTACTCATCATACTTCATTCAACTGAAAACTTCCACACACATACATTAAAAAATTCTATTCTACAACGTCAGTCATCGTAAAACCACACACTCCCGAAATCCCTTTCCCCCTTCCTCTACCAATACATTTTAAAATCATGTTATATATACACATATCATCATCATCATCATCCAGGCATCGGCGATCATGGTTCTCCATTTATTCTTTTGCTCGGATGCTCTCAAAAAAGCTACGTTTCCATGATCTTTCCCTGTAAACCATTTGTTTAGGTTCCCTAAGTATGTTGTTCTGGGCCTACCCCTGCCTCGCTTGCCCTCAATTTTGCCAGTGAGAGCTAGATGTTCAAGACCCTTTATGTCTATTCAGGTGTCCCAAAAACTGCATTTTCGTTTCCTGATTGTTTTTAACATTGAGCGTCCAACATGGGCTTCATCAAGCACAACCTCATTTGATTTCTTTTCCTTCCACGATACTGTTAGTCTTAGCAGTTTCCTAAGAAACCACATTTCTGTTGCTTCTATTTAATTTTCACTGTCTTTAGTAATTGTCCAGCATTCACAGCCACATAGAAGGGTTGACCAAACATAGCATTTCAGGACTTTCATTTTGGTGTTCATATAAGTACAGTAAAACACAGATAAACATGAACTTCCCGGGACCAGAGAATTTCTATGTGCTTCAGGGAAGTTGCAATGCATAAAATAAAGAGGGGAAAGAAAAAACAGGAATGTTGTTTCAAACAGCTTTAGTGGCTCTATGACATTTTATATGCTGCGCTAACATGTAACAACCTCTTCAGGTAAAATTTAATGTCATAAGCCGCATAAATATACATGTATTTCATGCTCCAAACCAGTCCAAAACAAAACAAATAAACTAATAGTGTTAATAACGGTAAAAAAAGTGCAGTAATGACAGGAAGCCATATTTTACACCGTGACCAAGTTCACAACATTTGATTGATTGACCTAATGGGATTCATTCGAATATAAATTATTACAAGAAAAAAAATAAATCTCAAATCGCCATGAAATAGTGTGCAGAATGAAGAGAGTGGACTGAAATGACCCATGACATACAATAAACAAATATGTACACATATGGACATGGTGGGTTCACATTTCTATGTTTGAAGTGAAACTGAAATAAAAATCCATTATTGATCACAGACACATAAAAAACCCCCATTTTGTTGACTCAAAGGCTTGGAATGGGAATCAACAATTAAGCCAGATAGATGCACCTGCTGCCTTTATTGGTACCTCAACCCTTACTCTTGGCCAGAACGTACAATAATCTTACATTCTTTTGAAAGTTGAAATCTTTGGCTGGTTTGGGGGGGGGGGGGGGGGGGGGAGAAGGCTGTGGCTATGAGCGGTTAGTGAACTCAGGCTCACAAAAGGCTCAAGCAAAAGTCTGTGTCGATGATGCGTTGTTTAGTAGGGTACTGTAACTTTACCCATTTACTTTTTCTCACACATTTTACATTCCTGATTTGAGTCATCCAGTGACCTTAATGTATCTGGGTACCAGTGCAGTCGTGCCCCTTTTAATATTTCATATAACTTGAATTCACAGATTTCTTGGGGGGCTCTCGTGGCCTAGGGGTTAAGGTGCTGGCCTCTCATTCAAAGGTCCGGGGTTAAAATCCGGGTAGCGACCGAAATATTTTCTTCTTTAAAATTGTCTCCTTTCACCTCCTCTCCAGCAATGTTCTGTCGTCTGCTTTCGTCTCCACTCTCTGCCCCCACCCCCTCACCTCCTTTGTCCCCTCCTCTGGGCTCCGGACTCTTTCTGCAGCCTTTCCACTGCTTCTCCTTGGCTCCTTCTTACTGCTGTCTTTCAGCCACACCCTAGATCTTCAGGTAGGAAAGATCTACACCTAACCTTCTCAGACATGGGTGAAAAATCTCAGAGGGCCCGTGTGCAAGTTGCGCACGTTAAAGATCCCTTGGTTGTCTAAAATCGATAAGAGTAGGCTTCGGCCACCACCTGGGCAAAATTCAAAATTTCCTACCAACTGAAAATGTTTAATGTGTTCCGCGTGCTCATATGACCTTATGCAGTTGCCAGCGCCGTAAAACACTTACCAAAACAAAACAAACAGGTTTCTTTTAAAATTGCAAATGAAGAAGTGTGCAACCTCCCTCCAGTTTAAAAAAAACCTAACTAAAACAAAAGAAAAAATGGAATACAGTGTTCACTGGGATGTGTCCGGGAACAACACACTTATAATCCTAGCTCAAAATCAGGGTGCTGCACCAGTGGTGGTGGGTGAATCAAAATGTGGGTGGGAATTAAAAATGAGGGTGGGTTACGTTCAAAGGAACTCAGAGAGGAGTTCCCTCTCCTATAGTTTTCACGCATTCTTTTTTCAATCTTTTACCTTTTCACAAGAAGACTTTAACATCATAAAGAAAGGACCGTGGGAATAAACTCATCCTTTGTTGAGCCCTAAAAACATTTAATTTGGCTGTTCAGTCACTATATATATTGGTAAGCAGTAGTAACAGTGCCTGTATTCACTGTGAGCAACTGGAGGTGGAAGGTTCTAAAGCAGTCTTAAAAGTGTCAACTGATTACTTTGTTAATTAAGAAACATTCATAAAGGGAAAGAGTAGGGAAAGAGGGGCTCAACCCCGCGCCACTGTGTTGCACATTGGGGACCAGCATTGGTGTATGGATTGACTACATTTTTTATATACAGTGGAACTCGGATTCAACGAGCTCGGATTCAACGAGAACTCGGATTCAACGAGATGTGATAGATTCCCATTTTTTTTTTCTTCTTTAAAATCAATAAAAAATAACCCGTATTCAACGAGCACTTAAATCAGTGAGCTTGGATTCAACGAGGTCGTTTCTAGGGTGAACAGCCCCCGCAGACGTGGCTTCGCTCATTTTTCTCCCAGAACGAACTTTATCTGTTCCCTGAAACCATCCATTGCACCAGCATCGTGAACCATTATTCACTTTGCCGATTGCATGCGACCAAGCAGCTGACTTTTTTCATACCAACACATGCGTTGTTGGCACGCTCACATGTCTATTCTGGCATGTGTCGGGGTCGGATTGGCAGCTTGCACACGTGTCGCTGTGTGTCGGTGTCGGAGAAGGGGAGGGGGGCCACTAGCGGTCCGGGCATTAAACGTCGCAGATACAAATCCTCCTCAGGAACTGATCACTATTACAATGATAACACAGTCTAGACGTGGATCTACGTAATGAATTGAGCGCTGGTCTATGGCTGTATGCTAGGCTCTACACAGCAACACAACTTTTTGGCGAACAATCGAGATGACACAGGCGTGCATTTGAATGAATGTTTTTTTGTTTTTTTTACACAGCTCATAACATGCAGGCATTTCAGGCACTACTTGTGACTTCTCTTTATACATTACTTGCTCAGGGCCTGTAATTATCTACACAAAACCTCATGTTAGCTATAACGAACACTCGGATTTAACGAGATTTTAGGTCAGGCCCCGAAACCTAGCTGAATCCGAGTTCCACCATATGTTATTCATACATTTACCCAAAGGGATGAATAAAGTGGGCGTTCGTATGAAAAGGGTATCATGGATCTATAAAAATGACATAGGGTGTTAATGAATGAGGACATGGACTTAATAAATTTACTGTTTACGCTTGAATAAAGTGGAATCTATTATTTCTTTTTTTTTTACTAGACCAGACATGTTTCAAAGAGTAGTGACAGAAAAGCAAGGCAATAGAAGTCAATTATTTGGGACTGAGACTGAAGAGATGGTCAAAAGCAATACATCATTGTCCAAGCTCTATGTTGCCCTACTAAAGGCAGACCCACAGGCTGACTCGCTCTATGAACAGAATTGACAGTTGATGTTGAACCACATAAACATCACTGTGTCAGTCAACATGGGACCAATCGTCCAAAATTTATCCGTCGAGTTTGTTCTTTGTCTCATTATCGCTTATAGTTTTTATCAAGACCTATGCATGTTCCTGAGTTATACATGAATATTCAATATATATGTTATACATGTATACAGGTCAATGTGCTTTTTTCGATATATACCAGATTTATGCTGTCTTTGAATTATACATGCAAAAAAAAAAAAGACAGATATAAAACAGAAGGACAATGAAATAGTACATAAGTGCATGATGTATTGAGCAACTTGGTATCAACCTGAGAATCTGAACCTGAACCAAACCAAGATATCATGAGAAACAAAGGAACAAAGAAAAGAAAATATTTAACATAACTGAGAAATTTGATAGAAATTTAGAAGAATCTTTACATTTTACATTGATGAAAAAATGATAATAGTCTGGTTGAATCTCCACCCGAACAACTTTTGCTTTGCCATTACAATGAGATTCAAACAATGTCATTATACTCATAAATAGCCTTCAAGCCAAACTAGCCATCTGTAAAATAAATTTTCCAATTTCTCCAGGAACAGATTTAGATTTCAGCAATGACTCTCTGTCTGAGAACTCTTCTGGGTCTGGATGGGTCCAGTGGAATGCTAAAGTATCTTTTCTCCAGGATAGAGATGGGGATTTCAAGTGGTCCAAATCAGCTTCTTTGTACCCACCCAAAAATGTTGCATGACAGTTGCCGACAGCACAGGACACCTGCGAAAACATTCAACAATGAAGATTGTTTGTAATTAATAAGTCAAATATTCAGAAACAAGAATGTGGTCTGCATGTCAACTTTAATTAAATCAATTCATCAGTTTTTTTTTTGGGGTGTAAAGCATGAAGTCCGCACAATCAACAATTTCAAAAAGATGCCAAGAACACCTTATAGTACTGAGTCTCTATCAACACTGACATACCATCTTAAAATTAAAATCACTTATGAGTTGATTTGTACCTGAAATTATCAAACTGAAAGAAAAGCTAACTGGAGACAAAATTGCAGCAGTATTTTAATTCATGTACCCCCCCCCC